GGGGGTAAAAAATTTCCCTGACCCCTGCTGTACAGTACAATACAAGGGTTTGCTTTTCAACAGGAAAGCTCTTTAAATAAAAGCAGCCACTTACCCTAAAAGCCAAATGTATTGTTTGCAAGGTTTTGGATGGCCTACAGACTACTGACAAAGCAATGACATACTCTCGTACATCAATCAGGCCATCTTCCTTCTGTAAAGAAAGTGTATAAAAACTTTATTAACACTTTTAATAGATGGTTACACCAAAAGCAAAAAAGAACACTGACATTTTTATATAATTACTTATATCAAGGTTTCTGTAGAAGGATTTGAAGCCATAGATGCCTATGGACTATTATTAACATTACATCCTTCAGAATTTCTTGCTTAAGACTCAGTTGTTTTACAGAAAGGAAAAAGTGGCACTTGGAGTATCGTTATACTGTACTAAGAGGCATGAATGAGTCTCTTGAAACTTTTTTTAAAAAGTAGCTCAGATCCAAGAGTTGCCTTCATACAAGTTGATTAAATGGTCATTTTAGTGCCATGTTCCTGATGCTGTAGCTTCTGACATTGCCCTAAATCTAGTTGTTAATCCCAAATTAAATAAAATGGATTTATGGACTAATTTACTATTTAGCAATTGATTCAGAGGATCTACTCTAGGTGGCAAAAGTAACTGGATTTAGGCCACTGTGTTTGTTATGTATGTAGGCAAACACAAAGAGATGGAAGTTGGTTTGTAAATATATAAATATTAGTATCATAGGGCTTGACTACAAGTCATAATACTCTTGTTTTTGCATTGGATTTGGCAAATCAAATTAAAAATATCCAACTACATGATATACAGTTAAGTGCACATTTTTTTCCTGTTGAAAAGTGCTTTTTTAAAAAAAACACCCAAGTGGGGATACTATCCTTTGAACTGATTCTGTTCATGTTCTTTTTTTGACTCATTTTGGCATGTATGATTGCCTGTGTTGGAGTAAATTGTGTCTTTGAGATTTGCCAAGTTTTGGGTGCCAATTTCAATGCATTTTGCACTGCAGGGTACCCTACGGTTTTGAACTCTTCCCTTTTTTCCATTGATGTTTCTGTTTTAGCCCTGCGTCACTTAAGTGCTGGAAACTGGAAGCAGCTGCCTCACTGGAGGTTTAGCTTCCTGTGCCTCATGGTCCCTTCAGCTTCCAAATTGTAATCAACGTGTCTCCTATATATATATGGGAGAATGCCATCTGTCATCAGAGCAGATTGCTTCACCCCATTATTATATAGTGCTGGAAACTGGAGGCAGCTGCCTCACTGGAGGTTTAGCTTCTTGTTCCCTTATATATATATATACTCTGTACAGTTATCGCAGTCAATAAAACATATCATTTAAAACCCCTGCTCACACAATCATTAACAGGTATGTGAACAGGATCAATCAGTTTAATAGTCACATCTTAAAGGATTATTGTTCATTATATAAACAGGTGCTTTCTGCATAAAAGCTATACTGACCAACAGTGGCTGAAATCTTGTTGTCAAGTTGTGCAAATGACATAAAGTTAGATGCAAATTGCTGTAAGTTAAGAAATTAAGCAATGTTACTTGTTGCATACTGAGTTGTGCAACTCAGTATGCAACAAATGATACCTACAGGGAGTTCCTGACTTACACCAATTTCCATCTAAAAGTTATGCCACTTGAGTAACTACACAACAGGATTTCAGCCATTGTAAACCTGTACTCTTAGCATGAATTATAACTGCACAACAGGATTTCAGCCATTGTAAAACTGTACTCTTAGCATGAATTGATAACACCACATAACATTTACTTCATATAATAAAAAGAATCTATTTAGAACAAAGGCGGTCAACTTTCAGACATTTGGGGTCACTGCCAGTTCCTATATGGGCTCTTAGTCCCTCACCCAAAAATATTTTTGTCAATTTTTTTAAACTGAAAAAACCCTCTTGTGGCTCCTTTTAAACATATAAGTGGGATTTGCTGAGCGGGCCGTGGGGGAGATGAAGTATCCCCCCCAAGCAACAAGAGGCACAAGGGGATTTTAAAAACAAGTTTTCAAAATATTGTATAAGGGGTGCTGGGGGGACATGCCACCCGCACGTCATACTTTGCCCCCACCCCCTGGTTCGGAAGATGACAATTAAGTTTCTTACCTCATTAAATAGTGCAAACATATTTTTGAATGTATCTGAAACTGGTACCTCCAAGTATTCAGCAAACTCCTTGAGACTGACTCGTTTACCTCTCATTCTCTTGGCACTTGCTGAATAGTCCTCAAGTTCTTTTTCAAGATTCTCTGGCTTTAACCTAAACACAGGAAAGAAAACAATGGATGTAACTATTGCTTTTTGCAAGTAATCCTTTTTTGGGGGGAAACTTTGTACTTTTTTTTGCATTTGCTTTAAAATGGCTTTCATGAATAATTCTAATTTCTAACATATGTAATTTGTTAGGTTTCCCATTTACATTCTAAGGCAGTACCCTCAGTATGCTGATTTTCTCTATTTCTTTCTCCCTGGATTTCAGTACTTGAAGTTTAAACTCTGTATTATGGAATTTATCTGAATGTACAAGTTGGCTAGCAAAAAGCTGGGGGATCAATATGATAAAAAGAAAGGTTACCTACCTGTAACCATGGTTCTTCTAGTGGACCTCTGTGAATAAATGGGTTTCTTCTGCGCCTGCGCAGGACGTTTCGGAAGATTCTAGATCTTAAAAAAGCATAACAATTAAGATTCCCTCTCAAGGTGCAAGCTCCGCCTCCTCAACCTTCCCCTCAGTTCCTGCAGTCTGCCAGTGCCAAGTAGAACAGGTCTAATTACAGACAACATGACGGATAGAGGAGAGGAAGGGAGGGATGTGTGAATTCACAGAGGTCCACTAGAAGAACCATGGTTACAGGTAGGTAACCTTTCTTTCTTCGTAGTGGCCTCTGTGAATGCACACAAATGGGTGATGACAAGCTCACTTACCAGATGGAGGGCCGCCATGGAAGCAGAGATGTCAGTATTGCCCTTCCAAATGCAGCATCATTTTTTGCTCTGACGTCAAGGCGATAGTGCTTTGTAAACGTCAATGGGTTGGACCAAGTAGCTGCTCTACAGATATTCTGTACCTCAATTCCACAATGCAGTGCAGTCAATGTCGAGACTGCCCTAGTGGAGTGTGCTTTCAGATGGTCCGGTATCGGCTTGCCAGAGAGTTCCTAGGCTATCTGTATAGTATGAATTATCCATTTGGATATAGTTCTGTGTCGATGCCAGAGCACCTCTGTTGGATCCATAGTAACATATGAACAATCTAGGCGATTGTCTGAATTGTTTAGTTCTATTGAGATAGAAAGCCAATGCTCATTTGACATCTAGTGCGTAGAGCTTGCGCTAGACTGGGGTGGACAGAGAAGGGAACAACGTCAGCAGCACTACTGGTTGGTTCATATGAAAATCAGACACTACTTTGGGCAGAAAGGAGACATCAAAGTATAGGGTTAGCTTGTCCGGATGAAGTTGCAGGTATGGGAGATCAGATCTCAGGGCTGCCAATTCACTGGCTCTCTTCACTGATGTAATTGCAACCAAAAAGATCGTCTTTAGGGAATGTAACTTTTCATTGCAGGTGGCCACTGGTTCGAATAGAGGCTTGGTTAGCGCTTCCAGAACTAGTTGTAGGGACCATTGGGGAATGATTTGTTGTGCCGGGGGTTTGATGTTCTGAAGGCCCTTCATGAATCTTTTGAGAGTAGAATGAGAGAAAAGTCTAGCAAACCGAGAACGAGGCGGTTGATGAGCCACTATTGCTGAGATATAAACTTTGATGGTGGAACGTGGCAGTCCAAGGTCAAAGATGCAGGAGGAAGGTAAGTATCGTTTTGAGGGAGACTGGAATTGGAGTCAAGCTCTGGGGTTCCGCAAAATTTAAGAATGATCTCCATTTGTTTTCATACAGTTTTGTGGTAGATGGTTTCCAAGCCCTTTCTAAAATTCTGAGGAATTTGGGGTTATCAGGTTCAGTGAGTGTACGTCTGGGTGGAGAATGGAGCTGCTGTTCTGGCAGAGAAGGTTCAGTATTGACAGTAAGCGAAGCATTTCTGTTGTTATCTTCCTGAGGTGAGTAAACCATGGTTGGTGGGGCCACCATGGTACGATCAATATAGCATCTGCTCGATACTGAATGAGCCTGATGATTGTCCTTTGGATCATCGGTATCAGTGGAAATATGTAGAGGAGTTCTCCTGTCCAGTCTATCATAAAGGCATCTCCAATTGAGTCTGCATCGATGCCTGCTCTTAAACAGTATCTGGGACACTTGGTGTTGTATCGAGTCTCAAAGAGGTCTAACGCTGGATAGCCCCACTTGCAGCAGATCCCCTGAAAGACCGACTTGTCTAATGTCCATTTGTGCATACAGGTGGGCAGTCTGCTGAGACAATCTGCGAAGTAGTTGTCTTCTGTTGAGATGCGGATAGCCTGTGAGAAAATGTGGTGGAGACAAAACCATTACCAAAGTTCCACTGTGAGGTGTAGGAGGGGTAACGAGTGTGTGCCTCCCTTGTTTGTTCACGTAATGCATTGTTGTGGTGTTGCCTGTCACCAGTTGGACCGCTTTTCTTTTGATGTGCAGCAGAAAGACTGAACTCAGCCATCTGAATTGGGCCCTACAGGCAAATGGCTACTCCAAAAATGAAATCACAAGAGTCATCAAACCAAGAAAACAACACCGAACTGAAGAAGAAAAACAGCCACCCACAAATAAAGTATTTCTGTCATACATCAAAGGGGTCATGGACTGCATGGGGAAACTTTTGAAAAAACACAACCTACAAACAGTATTCAAGCCCACCACAAAAATACAACAAATGTTACGGTCAGCAAAGGACAGAAGGGACCCCCTCACCACTGCAGGAGTATACCGGATACCTTGCAGTTGTGGCCAGGTATATATTGGAACCACAAAACGAAGCATCCACACCAGAATCAAAGAACATGAGAGACAGAAAAATCTGCAGTAGCTGAACATGCCCTGAAACAAACTGGATATGAAATTCTATTCCAAAATACTGAAATACAGGACAACACCAGCAATCATTACGTCAGACTGCACAGGGAAGCCATTGAAATCCACAAGCACCAGCAAAACTTCAACAGAAAAGAGGAAAGTGTGAAGCTCAACAAAACTTGGCTCCCAGCTCTCAAAAATACAGCATGCAAAAGGTCAACAAACTCTATCCAGCCACAAGGACAGGGGATCACTACACACAAAAGACCAGCTAATGACACCCATCAACCACAGGAACAGATACTGTAATCTCTTCTCCTTAGCGCAACAATACACCCACAACAGTACACACTAATCAACCATCTACAGAAAAAGACAAAGGCCTATCTCACAGCCATAAATACTGCACTCCCAAGCCAACTACACCAGAGCACAGAGTGCTGTCCTCTGAAGATCCCGGCCACAGAGACTGGCGAAACGTTAGGAAGAACAACCTTCAGAACACGGCCAAAGAGCCCGAAAAATCCACAACAAACAGACATTTGTTGTGTCCGTCGGTTAACGGGAACTTTCAGAGACAAACAGAGCACCTCTTAAATCCTCAAGGGGCCATAAAACATAAGGGTGGGTGGGGGGAAAGGGCGGGAAAGTGAAAAGAACGATATCATATAGGGGAAAAAGGTTCTAATCGCTAAGGGAAAATAACTAATATTTATTCCAAAAGGAAACAGCTGGAATAAAAATAAAAAGTAAGTGGAAAAGGCTGTATTTACTCTCTTTATAGAAGCTCTACAGTTCCTCACGTCCTAACCAAATGGTGGAAAAAAAGGAACTGAGGGGAAGGTTGAGGAGGTGGACCTTGCGCCCTGGTGGGGAATCTTAATTGTTACTCTTTTTTAAGCTCTAGAATCCTACAAAACGTCCTGCGCAGGCGCACAAGAAACCCATTTGTCTGCATTCACAGAGGCCACTAAGAAGAACCTCTCTTTTCTGAAAATGAATCTCTACACAATACAGTATTCAAAAGAAGAAAAATAATCACAGTTCAATAAGTTTATGTGTTATTTCATTTGCAGTGAAGATATAACAATTATGTGCCACCAAGTTTATTCCAACTTATGTCAAGCTCTTTCAGGATTTCCTAGATAGTGCATACTCAGAAAATGTTCACCATTTCCTTCTTTTGCGGGGATGGTCTGGGGCTGTGCGGCTTGGCTAAGGCTACACAGGCTGGTTCTTCTCCGGGGAGGTGCAGTGGGGAATCATGCAAGGTTGAGCCTGTAATTTCTTCAAACTACAGCCCTAATATCTGTGAAGATTCTGTCATCCAGGTGAGGTTAACTACTCATCCTAGTAGCTTCTTCAGTCTGAAGAGAGTTGGTAGGAGACCCCTGAAATATCCTCAAGGTTAGTTTCACTTTCCCCTGGTCTGAATAGGCTGGTTAGATGGACAGAGTACTGGGGGTGAGTGAAAATCCCACTTCTGCCGTTCTTCTCCACCCATTGCCATGTGTCCTTAACAGTCATGCTGCCCTTTCATCCATCCCCAGAAATATCAGGACCATACCCAACAGAAAGATCACTGTTAATGACTGTTAGCGACCCATAAATAACAATGGGTGGAGAAGGACTGCAGTAGTGGGATTTTCACTCACCCCAGTCCTTTTTCCATCTAACAAGCCAATTCAGACCAGAAGGAAGTGAAACCAAAGTGGAATCTCCTACCAACTCTCCTCAGACTGAAGAAGCTACCTGGATGAGAAGCCAAATGTTTCAACCTAATAAAAAAGTATTTCCAGTTGCCATGATTCAGCTTCCAGATACAGCCCTAATATGTGAAAGCTAATCGTGATTTTCCCTTCCAGTCTGCATTCAAAGTCAGAATACAGTAAGTTTCAGCCAAGAAGGAAAATTCTGGATTTTCTAATTGTAAGACCCACAGCAAATTGACACTGCATATGTTCAGCTGAAATAAGGGTCAGTCTGAATTTTATACTTAATTGGTGATTACATTATATGAAAAGGCCTTGTAGTTTTTCAAACAGTTTTAATTCTGGTACAATACTATATAAAATTCCAAAATTTGCTTAAAAAACAAAATATTAAAAGATAGCCATTCCTTCTAGCAATTTTTGTTCCTACCTTCCTAACTTCTGAAAAATAACAAGAAAATTACATTGTACTTTATAAAATTACATTTAAAAAAAACACATTTTAAAATATCCATAAATTTACTCACCCAAGACTCCTTACAAGTTTTGCAAATTCTAGGAGACAGGTGTTTGAAGGAAGGCGTAGCTGTCCTTCAGCCAAGGCTAGCTGGCAATCTTCAAAAGTATAGTCTGTTACTGAAACTCCCAAAGCCCTTCAGTAAAGAAAAAATATATATTTATGCAACTACAATAGATCTTGTCTATAATTATGCACATAAAAGATTTTGTCTGTCCTTTCAATAGACAAAACCTAAATACACATAGTCAATAGTCTGCAGTTCAAGTAATGATATTCCAAGGAGAAAGATAGTTTTTCATAAATATACCTTGGACACTTCCATTAGTGATGGGGAAGAATTATTTTGGCCTGTTTTCGCCCCCAGCAAATTGACCTAGACTAATATGCAGCTTTTGCAGATTTTGTTATATTACTTTCACCTCAAAACTTGTCCACAAAATGCATACAAATGGAACATTGTATATAAAATATGTATCAGTGTTAATTCTACAGAAAAATAAATACAGCTGTTTAATGGAAGCTATGAGTGGCTGAATACCTGAAAAAGGGAATATTCAATTTGTAAAACTTTAAACCAATTACTTTTTCTAACTTGTTTCATTTGGATGGAATATGAACACAAGATCATTAAACTCAATACTATCATTTTGCATCAACATAAAAACCAGAAGATTCCATACCTGTGCTACATGATAGGCCAAATCACTTACTTTGCCATTACACGTCTCACGTTATTTGCATATAAAGATGGGTTTCTTCTTTCCTCTTCAGAAGGTATATACACAGGTAGGAACTGTAAGCAGAAAAATTATTATCAGAGTTAAATACAATTTCATCATCAACTTGCACTAATCGTATTGTTTTGAAGAATAGAGTAAAAGGGGCAAATACTCAAGAGCAAATATAAAAACAATGCCGTTTTTACAGATAATCTTTTGGAGTTTCAGTAATGTGACAACTATTATTTTTTCACATATACCCACGAAGTATGTTCCTATATAAAAGCTTCTATTAGTTCCTGATTATGATTTTAGTGCAAATTAGTGTTTCTTCTATTCATTTTCCACCATTCTATAACCTGAAAAATACTGTTGCCCTCTCTAAGAGAGCACTTCTTTTTGTTCTTCTACAGGGGGTTGCAAGTCATTTATGGCAATTCAAATTTTGGATGCAAGGACTATAAAGAAGGATGCCCTATGGCCTTCAAACCAGTCTTCAGGTTCTTTAGCAAGCAAGTTCTCTTTCTCTTTTCCCATTTATTTTAACCCTGAATGATCAGAGTTAACAAGATTCATTCATTTCTGATTACAGTGGTGCCCCACGATGATGATAATCTGTTCCACAGAAATCACTGTTTAGCGAAATCATCGTCTTGCGAAAACCGTTTCCCCATCGGAATGCATTGAAACCTGTTTAATGCGTTCCAATGGGGAAAACTAGTTGATGTTTTGCGAAGATCGCCCATAGGGCAGCCATTTTGCGAAGCACCGATCAGCTGTCAAAATGGCTGTCCTGCGAAACATCAGTCCCGAAAACATAGGGAAGCCATTTTGCGAAACCACTGATCAGCTGTAAAAATCGTCTTGCAAAAAAACGGTCAGCGAAGCATGGACAAAATCATCGTCCAGTGAAAATTGCCCATTGGAATCACTGTTTTGCGAATCGCTATAGCGATCACAAAACCTCATCGTCACGCGGATTCATTGTTTTGCGAGGTTGTCATCTAGTGAGGTACCACTGTACATTACTGAAGTAGCCTAGCTTTCTGCAATGCATGGGTTTTTCTGTTTCTTGATCTTTGTGTTTTCATAGGTCACCCTTTTGATCCAAGAAATTCTTAGCATTTTGTGGTAAGCCACATTTCAAATATTTTTGGTAGTTGCTTGTGTTATAAATCCATGACTCCACGTCACACAGTGGAACTCCAAATGCACAGTACTGTACAATGTGCATTCTCAAAACCCATTTAAAATGTTTCTTGCATGTTACATTCTTTGTCTTAAGAAAGCCCTTCCAGGCCCCCTTTATTCTGATTTATCTTGTGTGGCTATTAATTCTGCTGTTCATTCAACCAAATTGGAGGCTACTGATATTTGTCCTCCTCTATACTACCAAGTCTATACTTTCCAATTATTTTACATCCCTTCCTGCACTACAGTATCAACCTTCATATAAATACAAAGGGGAAAACATTAAGAAAATATATGTATTTTTACACCATTTGTCCCAGGTATATGTACATTAAAGTCATTGTGCATACAATAAAGTCACTATTCGTTAGACACTAACCTCTATTTCCACAAAATTATGAAACTGGCATAAGGTAAGCCATAGAATTTTTAACCTGAGTCAGGGAAAAGGAAAAAAAACATTAATTTACAAGAACATCCACCATTTCTAGTTCTACAATTACCATTGAAATGCATACTGCTTTGTTTTTACAAGTTTTGCGTCATATAAAATAAGAATAAGAAATAAGAAATTAGAAAATAAGAAACAAATAAGAAATTATAAAAAACACTCAATTAGGAAACTAATGTGAAGATTACCACTTATTTCTTATTGCCTCACTGGACGGTCTTCAGAAATGCTATAACCATCATTTAAAACTAGCATAAATAATTCATTCTGAACACAATTTAAAGTGAAATACTGAAGTGCTAAACCATAATGAAAGCAGTTGATAATTGAAGTACAGTAATGTAAGTCTGACTTACGCCCCTGGACCTTGCCATGTCCATGTGATTGTATCCTATGAAAAAGAAATGCAAAAGTATTTTTAAAACAATAAGCTTCTTTCAAACAGATAGCATGTTGAAAGATTTCACTAAAGTAGTATCATTCTAAAAGAAAGGTGGCAAGAAATACCAAAACATAAAAGCCAGTATCCACTCATGGGGGAGACATCATCAGCAAACCACTGCTAACTAAACAGTTTTCCCCCATCCCCCTGATTTCAAGATGCTCATGATTTGCATGCAATAAGACAAAGCAGTTCTCCACTCTGAAACTGAAAAAAAAGAAAGTCTTCAGTTAGCAGCAATCTGCTGCTGCCAGTGATGCAATTCCTGCTGTGACAGCATAGCTTCACTAGAAAATTCTGGCCATTGTATGCATTTTATTTATTTCTGTATTCATTTAATGCACCTTGAAACCAGTTTGATAGTTGGCTTACTGTTAAAAATGATAGTAGTTAGCAAGATTGCTAGAGGTGCAAAAGGGACACTGGGAGAGATGGAGAAATGGGCAAAGGTTTTTAAAGCATCAAACAACAGAAAAGTGTATTCTGGATTCCAGAAGCATACCGTTAATCATTTAGAATAATTTACAGTACATTTATTATAGTGATTTACGAAACAGAGGCTGAAATCAGGGGACGAAAAACTTCTGTTACTTATGCCATGCAAGGCTGGTGCTGTCATCAGCCATAGCAATGAAATAAAATAAAATATTTCTATTCCCCCTTGGAAGATCTCAAGGGATTCCTTCCATTATGGGGCATTTCCTGGATGAACAGAGGCACACTACATACTGCTTTTGCTGACAGGGCGATGCCCTGACATATATACTGGGCTAAATTCAGATATGCTGACAAAAGTAGCCAAATTCTGTGCTGCTGCAATCAAAATCCGGGAAGGAAAGGTTCCACCTAGAGCGCAGCTATGGAATTTGTAAATTGGTGTATAAATTGGTGATGTTCACACGGGCTCTACGAGCTTCGGGGTGGCAATTTTGCCATTCAGTCTAAGCTGTAGTGGGCCGTTGATGGGGCCTATGATGGGGAGTGGGAGATGTTTACTAAGATGTTTGAATGTGGTTTTATATATATGTATATGGATGTTTTTAGTCCTTTGGTGTTTTAGTATTTTTAATGTTTTTAGATTGTTTTTATGTTCCCAAATTTAATAATGTGTCTTGATTTTGCTGGTCAATGACCGTAATAAAACATTTCAAGGCTTCCATTATGGGGAAGCTGTTGGGGCCTATGGAATGGGTATGTGTGTGCATGTGTGTTTAATTTCTGAAAACTGCTACTGGCAGGGTAATTTTACTAGTCAGGTGATTTCTGGAAATTAAAGCCCCGTGGCCCCTCACAGGTTCCCCATGATGAAAGGGACCCCATGGGAGCATTGGGACGAGACATGGGCTCTTCGTATTTGTGTCCCTGGGGATACGAATATAAACAGCAGCACCATATATGCCATGGAGGCCCATTCCCTTGCCCCAGAACTGGCCAGTCCACCCACCATTCGGCGCACGGTGCTTGGCTCCATCATCGTCACACCAATGAGCGTGGCTGATTCTTCTCTGCCTCCCCAAGCAGCTCAGAACTGCAGCACAGAGGAATGATGGGGAATCTCCCTGCTCAGCTAATGAGTGGTGGGCTACACAAAGAGCTGGGGACAAGCCAGACGGACTCCTTCCATGATTGGTGCGACGATGATAGAGCCAAGCACCCTGTGGTGAATGGTGAGTGGACTAGCTGGTTCTGGGGGGAAGGAATGGGCCTCTGAGGCACCTGTAGTGCCACTGTTTGTATTCATATCCCCGGGGACACAAATATGAATAGCCCATGTCTAACCGGGACCTGCCAGATTTCTGAAAAACTGCTACACCTGATAATGACATGAGCTTTACACAGCATAAGTTACAGAATGGGACTTCAACCAAAAATATACAAATGTTACAGCAAGACGGTTCAGTATCTGCCTTCTGAATATAAGTATAATTATAAAGTTTTGCATTTATATTCAGTCACTTGCAGAGAGTGGAAGCCAAAATATATTTCCATAATATTTGAACATGAAGTATTTCCATTTTGTAATCAGTCTAATAATAATATCTAGAGAGATTCCTATAAAGATATTGGAACATGTATATGTATGGCTCTATTTATAAGGAATATGATTACTAGTAATATAAATTACTATTAATATAAATAAAACTAATATTAAGACCAAAAAAACAAACAAACCCCAAAACAAACAAGAGATAGATACATTTCTTGAAAACACAGTGTAGAGCCAGGAATTCCTATAGCTTACAAACACTGTCTAGTGAAAGAGACACAGCATTTCAGTTATAGGACTAATAGTACAAATTCATATGTAGTATCTCACAGATAAAATGTGATAGTTTTTATAGGATAAAACCTTTAGGCCTTTAAAGGTTAAAGATTACTTTAGACCTTTAAAGGTTAAAGATTACTACCAAATGAAATACCAGGAAATAAAACTCCAATTTCGAATGAACAGATAATACGTTGCTATGAAATTCTCGTTCTGCCTATTCCTAGGTGTGTTCAAAATGTCTGTGCAAGAAAAGGAACTCCTAAAAAAATCAATGTTCATGTGTAGTTTTGCTAATTCTGAACTTGACTGCTGCTTGCAAGTGATAAGGTAAATTCCATATCCTGAAACATCCCTTCTGTGAAAAAGGGAGCTGAGTATGTAAAACATTTGGTTTATTTCGTTCAAACAGGAACTGCTAAACTACATCAGGGAACACACTTCCTACTCCTGCCTTTTCAGAAGTGTTGAACCAACTATTTTATGTTCCTCCCCTCCCGGAACTGGACGTTGGGGCTACATTGACATCGGCTGTGGCAGCTCTAAACAATGATACTGTGCTATATCCAAATCAGGTTCTTTAGCCCAGTGGTTCTTAACCTTTGTTACTCGGATGCTTTTGAACTGCAACTCCCAGAAACCCCAGTCAGGACAGCTGGTGGTGAAGGCTTCTGGGAATTGAAGTCCAAAACTCCTGAGTAACCCAAGGTTAAGAACCAGTGCTTTAGCCAACAGTTTCATTTTTCACACCTTCTCTCATTTATTTTACTTCAACGATCAGGTGTAACAATCTGTACTTTTTGTTTTTCCATGGAGACCAAAGTTTCTTATCTTTCTACATTTATGAGTGTTATGGTTTCTTGTTTTTGGTCATTGCTTGTACTGTATTGTGATTTCTTGGTCTTTATCTCAGTTTTTTGCTGGTCGCCCTCTTGATCAAACAAAACAACACATGCTACATTTCTCTAATTATAACTAATTTGTACATTTAAGAAACAGTAAGATGACAACAGTTGTGCAGGTCATCCATTATCTGATTTATTCCAATGTTGTTGTTTATCTGTTGTCAAACTACTTTGCACTTCCAGCAACCCAATGAATTAATGATGTACAAATTGTCTTATTGTTAATGGCACTGCTCAAATCTTGACAACTAAAGGCCGTGGTTCCTTTTATGAGTCAACCCCTCTTATGTTAACTCTTCCTCTTTTCATATGGCCTTCTACTTCTCCTAGCATCATTATTTTTCCAGCGAGCCTTGTCTTCTTGTGACAGTTTTAAATATAACTAGAGATGGGGGATATCCATATACAAATATACCCCCACAGGTGGAAATAACGAGGGTCCGGGCCTTCTCGGCGGTGGCTCCTCGTCTTTGCAATAGCCTCCCTCCTGAGATACGTATGGTCCCTTCCCTGGGCATCTTCAAACGCCAACTGAAAACCTGGCTGTTGAAGCAAGGCTTTCCTCCATCCCCCGCCTGATTTTGTTCTCTGTGCCTTTTTCCCATCTGGATTATTGTGGTTTCTTTTTTTTAGTAAAATGTTCTTATGCTTTTAAATTGTATTAGATTTGATATGTTGTTACCCGCCCAGAGTAGTCGGTACGACTAGATGGGCGGGCTATAAATGTAACAAATAAATAAATATAAATAAATAGAAAGGGGGAATTCAATTCAGATGATTATCATATCTACTATTCTGGGCAAGAATCCCGTAAAAGAAATGGAGTAGCCCTCATAGTCAACAAAAGAATGGGAAAGCTGTCTTACACCAGACCAATTTAGTTCATTCATCTTGAATATTAAAATGTTTAAACATCACATTCTTCATTATCTGACTGTAAAGCTTATCTTGATTTACACTTTCCCACATTCCATACCCCAATTACATGTGCTGAACAGTATCAGACTTTTTCCCTACGTCTGTGCACATTAGAGATTGATATTTCATCTGGTTGCCTCACTAGCAACAGTGTTATTTGTATTTACTGTCTGTTCTTCCCCAATGACTGATTGAGTGTCTTCTAATCTCAAAATCTCATCTGTTAGAGCCATCTCCTGTTCATTTTGGACTGTTTCATCATAGGTGTTTTTGACGTATAATTACTCAGAAGTAGTCTACCAGTGCCTTACACTTTACAGAAAAATAAAACTGAGAATACACTATCAGATAATATCCAATTAAGTATGCACTTTTTAGGGATAAAAACATATTCACAGCTTACCAGTTTGTTTGGGTAACGTAAAATCACCGGCTGAACAGGTACTCCAGGGATAAATGCTCCTAAAAAAACATACAATATAGGCTATATGTAGAGTTACAGATCATTCCAATTGCAGATATTAATAGTCTTAAAACAATGACCTGATCCTTTTTAGGAATACTTCAAATAGATTTATGCTTAGAATGAGCTATCAGGCAACCTTGGTGAACTTGGGGGCCATATTTTTTTACTCTCAGAGAAATCGTCATTTTCTACTCTCCCTGAAATGGTCATTTTTGGTCATTAAAAACAGTGTGTGGGAGTTAAAATTTGTTTTAGGAGGGAGCCTTGAGAGAACCTGTCTCAAGAAGCAAAAATGGATAACTGAATAATAAAGTGACAAAATAATAAAACAAAACACAAAACAAAATTGGGTTCTTTTAAAACTCAATGTCATTATCCCCCCCCCAAAAGAGTGGGCTCTCAGCTTGTCTTGGGGGCTTCATGTGGCCTACAGGCCATTTTCTCCTCACTCTGAGTCAATATAAATAGACCCAGTCATACTCCTAATCACTTTCCACAATTTGTCATCATTTTCCATTTCTGTAAGAGATAACGTGATTTGCAGATTACACTGGCTTTGCTTTGGCAGAAACCTCAGAGCATGTGTAGGTTTTCAGCTGCCAAGTGTACATAAAATTTGGCAGAATGAATTTTTCCTTTTGTTGGTAAGTGAAACCAAAACCCAGCATAACCCTTGCAAAATGGGGTCCAATAAATTGCAAACGCAATCATATTGTTTATGTATTTGGTGTTATAGTTGATTTTTCTATTCATATGCTCTTAAGTTCACATATCAGTGTGAAACACATACAAATATAACTTACACGTAAGAGAAAACCACATATGAGCATGCAGAAATTCAAAAGTCCAGGCATTTAAAGTTACTGGAAAATATAATAAAAAATTGTTGCCAAAAGGGGAAAATTTTTTAAACCAATACCTGCTCCTACCTACAAGTTGAAATATATGTCAACTTTTTAGAGGATAATTGTTAAAGAAGGAATACCAACATGGTATATTTTTTTCCTTGAGAATCTCTGTGAGAATAAAGCTACATAATGTATCACAAACATTGATATAATTATTTCTGATTTTACTCTTATAATAATTAAGGAGGATATTTTGTTCCAGATATGAAAAAAATGTACAAAGAACTGGTGCTTGTTTCAAGATATTGATAATCAGCAATTTTGTCAAAAAACGGTGACAAGAATTATGTCCTGCAAGTCAAATTCTATGGTGCTTTTATATATCCACAAAAATGAACAGCACATATATAAGAATATGTTCCGTCAAAGTTCTGTCTTTTGTGAAAAAAAGCAAAAGTTTTCTTAATTATCAGAAAATGCCTTCTAGCCCATTTTTTGTGTTATGATCAAAACATTAAGAAAATCAGTAATAATAAAATGCAATCTCTATTGTTATTGTTAATCCTACTGGACATACACTATATGGACATGTAAGAAAGCTATGTCATAAAGCCACATCTCTAATTGGAAACTACAAAGTAATCCGAATTGAACCTATTCAACAGTATTTCTTCTAGTATGTGCTTGCCATTGTGTTCCCTGCTGGAAGTGAAGTGAAAATCCTTCCCGGAACATAAAATTCTTTCCTCTTTCTTTTTCGCCAATGTTCACAGTTTTATTCCAATGCTAGTGCCTTTCATAAGGCTTTAGCAACTGCATTCTCTAGCTAGAATATAAACTTATTCAACCGTGTTGAAGGATTCTTCCAAGATTCAAGTGAAAAACAGTCTTTTGGTTTTGTTTATTTGTTCTTTGTTTGTTTCAGTCTAAAATTCTGAACAACAACTTCTACGCCCAACTACACCTCTTGCAGAAACTGATGACAACCATGGTTTATTTATGACCTAGTGATATCTGATAAACAAAGAACATTAAGTCCAAGCCTCTTTCAAACTCTCTGTTTAGAAATCAGGAATAACAATGAAAATCGGTGTGATCCGGGGATGGTCACTGTAATGCATACTTGTTATTGTGCATACACAGTATACTGGATTTGACATTCAGACAATTTCAAACAATCTTTTACAGAAGCCTCTACCAGACCAGTGCTACAAATGTTGATCCACAAAGGACCAAGCTCACCAATAGGATGAAATATCAGTAAACTACTAAAACTCCTAATAAAGGACTCTAGCCAGTAACTTCTTGTGAAGCTCTGCCGGCATAGTGGGACATGACATCACCAGCAGTGGTACACTGCTGCTTCTTAAAGAGTTTATTTTTCAGTTTTGGAGTGTGACTCATGTAGAATGAGGCCGTGCAGTACATACTCCAAAACTTGGGGGGGGGGGAGGAGACCTCTTTAATTAGCAGCAATCTGCTATTTCCAGAGATACCATTCCCAGTGTGCCAGCAGACCTTCTGAAAAAGATACTGACCAGTACTGTACATTTGACCTAGAAAGAACGCAGTATTTTCTATTGGATCTATTTAATAAAGACTTCATTCGTGGACTCTTTTGCTCACTATTCCCATAAACAGCTTCTCTCTCCCCACCCCACTCTCATCTTGCATACCTACATACAGACACAGACAAACAAGACATTATAAAGATGTACTATAGCCTTTAAAACATTAGTGCGGTACAACTCAAGGGCCTATCAAGGGGTATCAGAATAGACAGACTTATCAAGGATGATATCATCATCACCACTACTATAAGCGGAACCCCCACGTCACGCCTGTCCATCAGTGGAAGCTCAAGAGTAGGAGCCAATGAGAAGACAGGAGGGGCGGAACCAAAAAGACAGGGGAAGACAGACAGACAGTTGTGGATGTGGAATGGCAGTTAGGGTTTAAGGAACCAAAAAGACAGGGGAAGACAGACAGTTGTGGATGTGGAATGGCAATTAGGGTTTAGGAGAGAGAAGAGGAGAGTTAGAGAATTGAACTGAGAGATTTCGGAGAGTGATTTGAGAAGGTTAATATATATATTGAACAAGCAGGAATGAAATTGTAAGTACTATAAGATAGATGCTGATTAAAAGTATATAGTAGTTCGGAATAAAAGTACTTGCAACCAAATACATAATCAAATCCTTGTTAATACCTGATACAGTTCCTACGTGATTTACCTTTGTGATTTACTTAACAATAAAATAATATTTGTTAATTAAACCTCTAATTCCTAAGCTCAATAAACCTTAGCTTTGGTAGCACACAGGTATAACATACATATTCGGTATCAGGAGGATAATACCTGGTGGCAGCTGAAAGAGAAAAGGGTATGAACCTGTGTGGGGGCCAAATAAACAGGGGCAACAAGGTAAAGCGCCACACTATAGTTCCTTCCTTCAGCAACAACGGTACTTATATATCGCCAGATTTTAGAATTTGGCAGAAGCTCAAGTACAGAAGGCAGATCTAATATTTTACTATTTGCAATATTAAAATTCAAAGCACAATTTCACAATTATTATGGTCTTCAGTAACTGTTCTTACTGCACCTGGAACATTTTTAAAATTCCACAGAAAATGTTTATAGAGAACCGAGCCAATGCCATTAATCCTCAGAAAAGATTATGTTGCTATAGTAAGGCTTCAAGTTTAAATATTTTAGAAGAGATTATATCCCAAACGTGCCCCTCACTTATACTGATAATGGACTGTTAAGGAATTTATAATAAGCAACACCTTGAAAGAGATGATTCAGCAAATATAATAAGTGGAATTCAGTAACTAAATACAAAATGTGATAAAAGATGAAATATCCTACTTCAGTGATTTTCTCCTGGAAATAAAGTTTGGAACTGAAAGCAGTGACCTTATTTGTTATGTGTAACTTTAGAGAATAATAATATTTATTTGTTTTTATAAAATAAGGTAACATCTGGTAATAAAATTCCCTTTTTCGCTCTCTAGTGTGACAAATTGTGTTTATTCATTAATCCTAAAGCAGTGGATTGTCTCATTATAGAGTTTTCAAGGTATGACATATTCATAAATAGCTTGCCAATGGCTTCTTTTGCACAGTACTAACAAGTGTTAAATTGAGCGACACTACTGTTGTCTGTGAAAGATCCTCTGCTAGGGTCACCTTCTACTACCGCTGCTGTCCACGAGCTGCCAATCAAGAGTTTCTCCACCCCATTACTACTGGAACCATCCATTCTCTTCTGCTGATCTGACTGTTACTCCTGAAGAGGGCAGATGCCTCTTAATCTGGTGTCTCAGCTGTGAACATTCCACTTTGGGCAAACCTAAGAATCCAAATGAGTAATGGGATTTAGCCTCCTGATGGCACTGCTCTTGGCTTCCCTGACACACTTAAACCCCCTCACAATGTGAATGTTTACATCGCTGAGCAAAAACCAAAACAGTAGTGCACAGACTGAATCCATTCAAAATGTATTCCAGCCCCCAAGAAAGGAGATGCCAACAACTGTGGTAGTTATAGGAGCACTGCATGCAAGCAAGGTTATGCTCCAGGTTTTGTAACAAGAACTTTTACACACACGGAGTGAGAAATGTCCAGTGTTCAAACTGGATTTAGAAAAGGAAGAGGCATTAGAGATAGTTTTGCAAATGTACATTGGCCACTGGAGCGTACCAAAGTATTTAAGAAGAAAGTCAGTCTGTGCTTTATTGATTACAGCAAAGCTTTTGGCTATGTGGATCATGAAAAACAATTAATCATTCTAAAAGAAGTGCATGTAACACAACTGTCCCAATGCATCACGTATTCTTGAACAAGAGGCTATTGTTAGGGATAGGATATGAAGAAACAGGCTAGTTCCATTAGGCAAAGGCATCAATCAAAAAGGTATTTTATCTTCTATCTGATCAGTCTTTATGCAGAATGTATAATGCAAGCAGCTGAATTAGAATCAGATTGAGAAGGAAAAGTGATTGAGGAAGTATCAATATATGCAGGTGACATATACCATGTTACTCGCAGAATGCAGCAATGATTTGAAAGGACTCCTGCTTAAGATGAAAGTGAAAAGCAGGACTACAGTTAAACATAACAAAAATCATGTCTATAGACGAATTATATAACTTCAGTGTTGAGAATGAAGAAATTCAAAATTTTAAAGATTATTTTGTCCCTAACTTTGATCCAAACAGAGACTAAACCTAAGAAATCAGAAGAAGACTGAGACTCGACGAGAAAAGATTCTTAAGTGCTAGGCTGTATTAGTGGAGACTAAGATGATGATCACACGCATGCGCAAACAAGCACTCTCTCGCATGCGGGTGAGCTCATGCACATGCGCAAACAGTGGTGCGGTGCTTGTCTGGGCATGTGCATACTTGTGCGCATGTGCAAATGGTGGCGCAGCACTCTCACTGGCATGCTGGAGTTACATAAATGGGCTGAGCGGGGGTGAGTGCGTGCAGAGGGTGCAGGTCTGTCTTGGCGGCCCAGTCTGGCTCAGGCCATGGACTGGCATCGGGCCATGGACCTCTGATTTACATAACAAGTACTGCTGAAATTTTTACATTACTGTGTAAATCTGTAGTCAGGCTTTATTTAACATACGTTTTTTGGAATGCAATAAGTGGGCCTTAGAAGAAGTGGGCTCCTGCTGATAAAAGTATGTTATGTGCCATAGTAACTTCTATTCCTTAATAAGTTTTTGAGGTATGTGATATGTTCAAGACATTACTTATCACTGCCATCCTGTCTGTTGCTATGGCCAAACAAATCTGAACTCACATCTCCTGAGTCCCAGTCTAAGACTCTATTCATTTCTGTATATAAAAATTTATGCCAAATAAAAGTTGTTGCCACATTTTTGTCATTTTTGATCTAAATATTAATGTGTTGCTGAAACACGTATATTAAAGCAAAGTTTAAAAAACAAATGATAAAGAGTTAACAAATTGCTTTTTAGAAATGACATCACAAGTTGTAACTAAATATAAGTGTAATTTGATGTTTCCACTTTAGCTATATCATGTGGAATTTGTTAGTTAACAGTGAACATTATCACGCACGAAATGCCTCTTTCTTCAAGACATAAAATTGTTCTGGGTGAATTAAGGCATAGCCTTAAATTGTAAGATTCACAGTTAAATGTACTGTACATACTTTCTTTTAAAAAAAAACAGATGTCAGTAAAAATGCTTTTGCTGCTTTAACAATACATGCATTCCAAAAGCCATGTAATGAACTAAATTCTACAAGATGATGATGATGATGATGATGATGATGATGATGATTTAGGAACAAGGTGGTAAGTGAGCTTAATAACAATTTCATGTATTACAACAAAGACAAGCCATGTGCTTTTCCTGTATGTTGGCCATGTCTTTACACAACATTTTAATAATGTTTGAGGTTCTGAAAACCCTTGTAAATGTGCTAGGGAGCCACAGGCAATTACAGGTCGCAGGACACATCTACCTAATATTATCAGACATACAAATGTTACAGAAAACATGTGGCCAACCCAGAGCAAGAACAAAAAGGACATGTGCCGTTAGCAATAGGGAGCAATGAACTGCATGTGTCAGAATCTAAAGTTACAGACACTGCACAGAAAGGAAGGATGTATATAATACATACCAGGCTTGAAGGTAATTAGACAGGATCGATTAGTGCAGGTTCCTTCTGGGAATATCATTATCTTAGAAAACAAAACATACCTTCCATTACCAATTATTTCTCTACATCCTGTGCATCTTTCATATATAATGTCTCAAAGTCAGATTGTAAATCTTTAAACTTCCTTAATCTCAAAATGCTGTTAAAACACTGCACACACCAAGAAAGCCTGGCTGGGTTATTCAGCGAGGCATTCAACACAAAATAATCTGTGGAAGAATGTATGGAATGAGGCCCAGCTATCTTAGAAGCACTCTGCTGTGTGAAACTGAGAACTATCATAGCCAGATGCTTTCTCAATAGGCAAGACTGTAAATCTAGTAAAAGGAACCCCTTCCTTTTTTCCTTGTCTCAAAATCTCTTCATCTTTAAAAACTGGATGGATGCAGGAACCAATAAATGACAACTAACCTTCTCAATTTTTTAAATATATACTGCAGGCTCCAAGAGCTTCAGAATAAAGATGGAATCTCTTTTAAAGTCCTTTATTTATCATTAGTGCTCAGGAAGGCTAAACAGAATACACATAACAGAACATGGCACTCAAAGTAATCCTATTATTTAAAGCTAGACTACTAGACACATAGCCTTCAGCCTAATTCCATTTGATAGTGGGAGAAGGAGAGACAGAGGAAGGGTGACAAGAAGAACACAATGTACAGTTCAGCACATCATCCACCTTCGGCACTAGTTCTGCCATCAGCTTCAGTCTTTTCAAGTCACTCAAATTTCCCATGTACTCTATTCAAATCTGGGAAAAATAAAAATGACTTTGCTGAAAGCTTTCCTTGGGTTAAAATTCTGTAATCACAGTGCCCTCACTAAAAAGGTCTTTCCTTGGTCACCATCTGCCTCACCACTGAGAATTAAATGGCAGGACAATGTTCTTCCATGATACGGAAATAGTTATATTCTAAATATAAACATATGTTGAAAGTGAGTCAGCATAATCAGAATTTAAAAAACAGAATACGTGGGCCTGTTTCCAATGACGTTGTTGCTTTACAGCAAGATGCATTGCCTCAGCAGTTGTGCAGTTTCAAAGTTAGAGCACGGATGGTGTCTAAAACAGTTTCATGCAAGTGGTTGTGGTGAACATGGAAAGTAGAAAATGAGACAATGTAAAACTGTTAAACAAAATCATGGCAGTAAAACCTGAGCATAAAATAAAAACCTGCAGAAGACAGAAATCGATCTTCACCCTGTCTAAAGGGTGCCCTGAAGAGCTGTGACTTGATAAGATGAACTTAAATGAACTTTAAAAGGGGGAACAGCGCATTCCTTTGTGTAGGGTTTACAACTCAAAAGTTCAGTCCCTCACATTTATCCACCACAGTTTATTCTGTAAAGGAAGGAGATTGGGAATTGCTGACATTGATTGGAATACTGTACTACAGATACAGACAGACAAACAACATCCTTTAGGGACAAGACGTTCTATCAGTAAAAAGGTAAAGGTTCCCCTTGACAATTTTTGTCCAGTCGTGTTCGACTCTAGGGGGCAGTGCTCATCCCCGTTTCCAAACCATAGAGCCAGCGTTTGTCTGAAGACAATCTTCCGTGGTCACATGGCCAGTGCGACTTAGACACGGAACACTGTTACCTTCCCACTGAGGTGGTCCCTATTTATCTACTTGCATTTGCATGCTTTCGAACCGCTAGGTGGGCGGGAGCTGGGACAAGCGACGGGTACTCACTCCGTCGCATGGATTTGATCTTACGACTGCTTGGTCTTCTGGCCCTGCAGCACAGGCTTCTGCGGTTTAGCCCACAGTGCCACCATGTCCCTCCCACAGTGCCACCACATCCCTCAAGTTCTATCAGTACCTGTGGCCATTTGCCATTAGACTGAGCACGCCGTCTTATCTCCTCCACAGTTTTCTTACGAGACTCCTGATCTGATCGTGAGACAAACACAGGTCGGATGTACTTGATAAGAGCTGGAAAGAAACACAGAGATGCCCGTATTCCTAAGTATGTTGCTTTATTATTATTATTTTTTAAAAATTAAAATAACAATGAGTACAAGACATACTATATGTACAAGTGGTACTTTGATTAAAAAAAACATTTTGGAACATGTGCCAAGCTGTTTCCCCCAAATATGAGAAAAGTAACCAAGAACACACATCTTAAAAAGGATACTTTACAAAACAACAATTCTAATATTTACTGGTAAAGATACTAATTTCCATTCTGACATTTGAAAGTAAAAGCACTCACTCAGCAACAGTTTTAAGGATTGCCTCTCTAGGCAATCCTTAAATCTTAATAGCTAAGATCGAGGCCTCATGAATGCTGGGCATTGTTCTTTATTGGGTGTTTTAAAAGTTTTTAAATGCTTTTCAATTCTTATTATATAATTAATTAATAGCTTTTTAATTCTTGTTGTATGTTAAATTGTTTTTAAATTTTGGAATTCATTTTGTTTTAGTCTGATGGGTTTTAATCACTTTGAGTCAGCCTGGGTGCCCTCAGGGGAGAAAGGCAGCCTAGAAATAAAACAAGCCAGCAAGCAAACAAACACAGACTTTTCGACGCAATTTGTGGGCCTTCCAAACATTTCCCCTTTCATTCTCTATAAATAGTTAACTTAACTCACTATTATTTTGCAGCTTGAGGTAATTAGAACAGTAAACCATCTGTTCTGAATGGCACAAAAGGCAAGTTCGTGCCATGGGTAACACTGTATTTTGAAACTGAAACATAAGGACAAGGCCATAATGAACGAATGCAATGTGGTTTTATACATATGCTGCTGCAGACCATGGTTAACATTATACCATATTTACAACTGGTACTGCCAGGTTAGGGTAACTTTGGATTGTGTTATTAAAAATCTTTTCCTCACAGGGAAAGTTGTATCTCCTTGAAACCTTACCCATTTTCTCTGTTGATAGCTCTGACACAATGCAAAAGGTTTGTTCAAAGGTGATATTGCTAGGTAAACTCTCCTTAGATATGCATATCAAACTTCTTTTTCTGTGCCCCACCCAGACTGCTGATCTCAAATCTATCTGACATCCTGCACATCCAATCATGCACGGAAGTAAATCTGCCATGTATTTTACTATATGGTTGATTGCTGCACCATAATGCTTTCCATGGTACTGTGCTACTCAAATAGCAAAGGATGATTAGATAATGTGGTAACAGACCCTGTTTTTTAGGAGCGGAGGCGGAAGATTGTCAAAGTTCTCTGTCAGATTAAGAATTAATCCCAATCATATAAATATAGGCATATCTACCTAACGATAATGTTGTGCTTTCAAGACTACTCAGACTTATGGTGGCACCTAGTCATAGGACTAGGTGTAAAGTATTTAGAAGTGGTTTATGATTTCCTCCTTCTTCTGGGGGGAACTCTGGGTCTATGCAGCTTGCCCAAGGCCACATATTAAGCCTCTTCTGTCAGCAGGCACACTGGGAACTGAACACCTAAGTACTCACAGATATTGCTGATTGATTGCCATTATGAGGTTACTTTTCTGCCCATGAGGAGACTCAAGGTGGCTCACAACATTAAAACAAGTAAAATTAAAAACGGGATGATTTATACAATTAAAAATCAATTAAACATAATAGTAATTTAAAATGCAATAAGTGGAAAAAATCTAAAACTTTAATGTTACTGGAATTTAAAATAGATTTTGAATTTCAGCAATTTAAGATGTTTAGACAGAATAGAATGTAATGAGGTAGGTATATTGACATCTATGGCTCAAAGGCAGATAGGACATATTTGGCCACATACTAGTTTTGTTGCAAAAATTCAAAATGTTACCATAAGAAGAAAGTTGCTTACTATATCGATGGACAGACCAGTCTCTGACACCTGCCAAGGTGTCCTTCACTCATCAGCAAACAATTGATTCAAGAGAAAAGTTGTACTTTACACTTCAGCCTGTCATGAATTTTGCATGTTTCCTCTCCTTTCAAATCAATTTCACACCCAATACATACAAAGTGACTTTATTTTAGACTTTTAGTTTTATTCCCCTTATAACAAGACCAGTGGATTAAGTATCTGGCTCTGGAGCCAGAGGTTGGGAGTTCCATCGCCCACTGTGCCTCCTGAGAAGAAGAGCCAGCCACTCTCTCAGGCAACCCCCAGGAAAAGAGAATAGTAAATCACTTCGGAGTGCTCTCTACACAGAAAACTCTGGAATGGGTCACCATAAACCAGAATTGACCTGAGGACACATGAGGGGGAAAGTGTCTTAGCAAACATAGCCTGTTGTTAAGAATTTAAGGAGAAGAGCCACACTAGATTAAACCAAAGGCATATCTAGTCCAGCACCATGTATATGCTATTGCCAGCTGTCTATGTGAAGCCACCAGCAGGGCAGCAATGCAGCAATAGCCTCCCACACATGTTCCCCAGCAACTGATATACCAAGGCACACTGCCTCTAACAGTGGAGTGAGCATAATCCATGCTGACTCATAGCCATTGACAGCTGCATTATCTATGAGTTTATCCAATATCATTGCAGGCAGGAGGATGATATAGGTATCTTTCTTGTACCAGGAATCTTGTACCATCCAGTGGGATGGGACTCTGCCACATTGCACATTTCCTCCACTCAAACGTTGGCTCTTCAAAAAAAGAATTAATTGGACATCATGGACAGTGTGGCAGGGAAGCCTGAATTCAAAATCTTACCCAGCCTGAAATGAACAAGTTTTGGAAGCTGCTGTCTTTCAACTTAGATTTGCCTCATAATATTGCTAATTGAATAAAACTGAAGGGACTGATGTATGCTAGCCTGTGCTTATTGAAGGAAAAGGGAAGAAACAAATACAAGAAACGTAATGTTAAAAATGGAACAGGCAAGTATCAAAGTATTTTTTAAAAAAAAAAATAATGAAAACAGCATCATCTTAAAAACAGTATAGTGCTGCAAAAGAAAATGAAATGTGTATTTCAAGCTCTCTTAACATCCTCATTTAGAATACAGAATGGGTTCCTCCACAGCCTGGCTCGCCAACTTCAGTCATCTGAAGCTACCTGCTCTGCAGAAACTGTCCATAAAAGAATCTCCTGCTGTATTACAACTGATCTAATTACAGAATTTTCAAAGCAGAACTTTCACTAAAACAATTTGAACATTCCCTGACAGTGCTGGGATATGGTGAGAACAAGTAATCTTTAGTGCCAGCTATCTGTTAAATACAATAAGGTGTGAACTGTCAAGTGATGTCAAACTGCTCTCTCACCACATATGAAATCCATGAAAAACCTGTATTTTTAGCCTTATAGAATTGTGATCAATTTTACCCTACTAGAATAACTGGCATGACTGAAATTCCTATTGTGCTAGAGGTCGACCTGATCTTGAAAACTGCTGTCAGAATTATTTATTTACTCTTCCTATCTGCAGATGCATACATCAGAGTCCCCCCCCCCGCAATTTCTTGTTAGAAAGGAGCAAAAAGAAGAGTCCAACTGACCCTGTTCCATGGACAACAGTTGTAACAATTTTCTGTATTGTTCTAGCGCATTTGTTACTGTCAAATATTTCTGTTCAGAAATACTAAAACACAATGGCTGAAATCCTGTTCCATAAGTTATGCCATGTAGGCCTGATGTGTCATCAGCCATGGCAATTTTCAGAAATTAAAGATCACTCCTGGTACCTTGGCTTGCAATGGCTTCCCCAAAATAAAAAGGATTCCATGGTTTTCAAAGCAGAACTTTCACTAAAACAATTTGAACATTCCCTGACAGTGCTGGGATATGGTGAGAACAAGTAATCTTTAGTGCCAGCTATCTGTTAAATACAATAAGGTGTGAACTGTCAAGTGATGTCAAACTGCTCTCTCACCACATATGAAATCCATGAAAAACCTGTATTTTTAGCCTTATAGAATTGTGATCAATTTTACCCTACTAGAATAACTGGCATGACTGAAATTCCTATTGTGCTAGAGGTCGACCTGATCTTGAAAACTGCTGTCAGAATTATTTATTTACTCTTCCTATCTGCAGATGCATACATCAGAGTCCCCCCCCCCGCAATTTCTTGTTAGAAAGGAGCAAAAAGAAGAGTCCAACTGACCCTGTTCCATGGACAACAGTTGTAACAATTTTCTGTATTGTTCTAGTGAGGCTGAATCCCACACCTGGGAAAATGAAACAGTTGGAAGCCAAGGCAGAAACTCTTTGGGAGAGATAGTAACCCTTAGGGAAGGGAAAGAAAACATCTATACCATGAGACATCAGCCATGGCAATTTTCAGAAATTAAAGATCACTCCTGGTACCTTGGCTTGCAATGGCTTCCCCAAAATAAAAAGGATTCCATGGAAGCCTTTTCGGGGTTGGGGAAAGAGTTGGAATCCGATTTTATTTATTGTAAAGAAAATCACTGTGTCGGATGACATTAGTGTAGGTATGCATACAGGATTAAACGGTGCAGTTGTCCACACAGGATTTCAGCCACTATTTATACTTTTTCATAACAGAGAAGTTAGTCCTTTCTTTTGGATCAGAAAGGATCTAATGACACTTTAGAAACCACTAAGGTTTACGTGACACAAGTTTTCCATGTCATGTCACCCGCTACATCAGATGCACAGAACCATGTCTTAGCTGACATATACTTATATGATCAATGCAAGTGGTACTGGGGTCTCAGTCTGTGAACAGATCACTGGTGCAGGCGCCTCTGGTGGTGGACTGTCTAGCCCCGGCCCAGGGCCTGAGAAGTAGAGGATAACTGACCCTTGTGTTAGGCCCATGTGAAATTAGTTCCATGACTCTGAAGAGAGAAACTGAGTGAGGTTGAATCCCACACCTGGGAAAATGAAACCGTTGGAAGCCAAGGCAGAAACTCTTCGGGAGAGATAGTAACCCCTAGGGAAGGGAAAGAAAACATCTACACCATGAGGGCTAGGGGATATAAAAGAGGCACAGAAAGCAGCAGGGGAGAAGTCACTGGAGCAGGAGAAGAAGCCGGGGACTTCAGCGCAAAAGATCCAAACTTAGGATCTCAAGCTTGAAGCTGGAGAGGAGGGGAGAAGGACAAGGTTGCTTGAGGAGTTACTCCAGAGCAACTGGAAGACAACTACCAAGCTGAGGAGGATGTAGAAGAAGAACCCAAGCCCACAGGATGAGAGAGACCCCAACAACAACAACAACAAAAAACAGCAGTGCCTACAAGGAACTGAAATTAGGGAACCCACACCCACCCACCACTGATGCTAGAGAAAGAAATGCCAGTGAGAATGCCAGGAGTGGAAGGAACAACAGACCTTGTCCACATTGTGGGCACAGGCCTTGAGGTTTGGTATGCTGATGTGGCATACTATATTGAGCCAAGACAGGCTCTCGCTTGTCTTTCTTGGTGATGTCAACCAGGGATGTGCGGAGGACTGAGACAGATACAGGATCAGTGCCTTCAACTAACCCTGTAGCCAAATTAACCAAGGAGAAATGTTTGGTTGAACCTCTTGTCTCCGTTGGAATATCTTCTGTTTTGTTAAAAGGAATCCACACCCTGCTGCTTATGAAGCAGGGAATGGTGGAGGGGCTGCCTGCTAACCAGGCCAGAGGCACTGAGTCTCAAAGTCATAAAATAAAAATTTCTATTAACATGGTTTAAAAAGTTCTGGTCCTCCTCCTCAGACACATGTATTGGGGGATAAAGAACCCTATACTATCAGATCCCAAGTGCATTCTGTTTTTTCAGAGTGGTCCGACAAATGCCTTCAAGAAGCCCATAAAGAAAGAGATAAAAATAACAGTCCTCCTGCTTTTGATTCTCAGAAACATCCTATTCAAGATATGTACTGCCTCTAAGTCTATAGGCTGAACATAGCCATCATGTCATGTAGTTAATTATAAACCTATCTTCCACGAATTAGTATAATTCTCCTTTAAAGCCACTAAGACAAAAGCTTAAGCCAATAACTACATTTTGTCATGGTGAATGCCAAAAACTATGCACTTTATGAAAAAATACTTCCTGCATGCCTCATAGAATAATTCCAAATTTTAGAGGTATTATTATCGTAGAATACAAAAAATCTGTATCTACTAAATGGTCTTTGTATCACACATAATTCTATAATTATTCATTTTCTCCTGACAAACTAAAATATTTCAAATTCTCTAATTTGTTTTAACATGAAAGATACTTTAGAGGCCTTATTTTAGTAGCTCTTCTCCGCCTTCTCCATCGTTACAATAGATATTCTGAGACACAATGTCCAGACCAATACTCAGTATTCCAAGGTGTGCTGCACCACAAAACGGATCAAGGGAACTCAAATATCACCAGCTTATTCTTGGTTCCTTTCCTAATAAGCCCTAACATGAACTTTCCTTTTTTCACAATTGCAAAACATGGTGTTTCTGTTTTCATCAAACTTTTCAGCGCTAAGCTTTCTGAGATCCCAAATTCTCCATTCTTGTTAGTCACTGCCAGTTCCTCAGATTACAAAGTCAAAACAGGATTTATTTTTGCCTGAAAGTGCTTTGATTTACACTTTCCTCTAATTGTCCTGCTTCTGATGCATTTAAATAAATAGTAACTGTTCACAACAGGCTTACATCCTCTCTCTATTTTTACATTCCTTATCATCAATTTAGCAAGAGTCTATGAGTTTTCTTCTTCTCATCAAGGCAAGACTTCCATATTCTGAAAGAAACCTTCTTGCCTTTTATAATCTGGCTCTACTTTTTAGCCATGCGCTTACACAGACATTACAGATGTAGGAGAGCTCCTTCCTCTTATTTAGTTTTCTTTCACTGATAATGCCTGACTAGCTACTCTTTGTGGCATATCTTTGTTGAGCTGCTACTGTCTGAAATCAGACAATACTTGTGGAGGTATTGGAGAAAAGAAATGGTATAATGGAGATACAATTTGACACATAACTGTTTATGTAATACTGCTGCTGTCTGAGGAAAGTAATGTCTCTTTTGACTGCTGCTTTCTTCTCTGCTTTGTTTATAGATAAATTGGATTTAAAGATCCCAGTTGTTCTTTTTCTCAAAAAATAAAATAAAACAAAAGCCTTTGGCCTTTCTGCAACTTCTCAGTTGCATGGAGACCTAATATACAAAGTAAGAAGTCAAATGTAGCTGTACCCTTAAGTGTAACATCCATAATCTATTTTTCTTCCCTTGACAAGCTGTTGACACATCTCTCCAAACGTTTCGTGCAGTAAGAGCTTCTACTGAGTTGCAAAGCTACTGAATTAAAAATGAACTGTTGCATTTGTCCTCAGAGTAAACAGTGTCCAAAATCTTGTTCGTTTTTAGCATCTGCTCAACTGTTTGGTGTGTGTGTGTGTGTGTGTGTGTGTGTTTGTGTGTGTGTGTGTGTGTGTGTGCGTGTGTGTGCGTGTGCGTGTGCGCGCACACACACACACACTTATCTTTTTATGGCAGGTACGCAAAAGGATACTTACTAACCCCTTGCGCACATGTAAACCCCATGGTTTTTAAAAAGATAGGAGGTGATCTCTGGCTTGCATAATAGCAAACCATAGATGGCTGGAGCAACCACTGAGTGCTCGGCTGCAGAGTAGTCATACCCTATGAGTGCTAAAAGGATTCTGATCAATTAAACTTAAAAAAAAATATTCAAGATGCCTACACAGGAGTCAACATGTCAAATCTGTACACAATTACAAGTACAGCGTAAATGGGCAAGAGAAAAGGTTGGCAAAATCTAGTCGGGGTTACTGGAAATCACAAAAGCTATTATAATAGTATCAATGGGACAACTTCTCAACATGTGTAATATTTTCAACATGTGTAATATTTTCCAAAGTTTGAATTATTAAAAAGTATAATGTAAATTATTTTATATGATGTTCCGCAGCATAAAAAGGTAAAGGTAAAGGTTCCCCTTGACAGTTCTTGTCCAGTCGTGTTCAACTCTAGGGGGCGGTGCTCATCCCCGTTTCCAAGCCATAGAGCCAGCGTTTGTCCGAAGACAATCTTCCATGGTCACATGGCCAGTACGACTTAGACATGGAACGCTGTTACCTTCCCACCGAGGTGGTCCCTATTGATCTACTTGCATTTGCATGCTTTCGAACCGCTAGGTTGGTGAAAGCTGGGACAAGCGACGGGCGCTCACTCCGTCGCGTGGATTCGATCTTGCGACTGCTTGGTCTTCTGACCCTGCAGCACAGGCTTCTGCGGTTTAGCCCGCAGCACCACCACGTCCCAATCAGCAGCATACCTAGGTGCTAAAATACAAATTATGAAAAACACTGTCTTGAAAAAGAAACGATGAACTTTAAGTTTAAATAGAAATTCAACCTTTGGCTCAGGCGTTAAACCTACTTTGAAAAGTAATGACAGCTTGTGATCTGGGTGGTGGTGGTGGAATCATGTCAGTTTGAGCTGACACACTTACCCTGCTCTTGTCATTACCAGCCCATGTTTCAAAAATGTTGTGAAGGGTTGTGGTCCTCTGAGAGGTTGCTTAACACCCTTCCATCTTGACAAATCTGTTTTTACCTTACCACTGGCAGACTGAGGACTGGCAGATAATTTTCCTGAGGTCAGATCTGGCCTTTAAAATACCAAGCAGTAAATTCCTACACATTGACAGGACATTAAAACATGGGAACCAACTTCTGTTTTCCAGTTTGTTTGTTTTTTAAAAAATCACGGTTCTTTAAACACAGCAATACGTTAATAGGTTCTGTGAAGTCCACCCACTTTATCTATCTCCTAGGTCAGTTCATTTGTATTTAGGTGAATGGTTTCACAATTACCAACATTAAATGCAATTACTATAAATATTATTTGGAAAATGGGAAGGATTTCTGACTTACTTCCCCAAACAGGAATGTCTTTGCTTTCTGCTTTCATAACTATGGAAGCCATAGTCATTGTTACAGGTATAGCATCGAAGTATGAGGAATGGGGAGCCAGAGTCAGGATTGGAGCTTCAGTGGGTAAAGCCTGCCTGCCCTTCACGTTTATCCAATGGAATCCACCAGCAAGCCACATGGTCCTCATGATGGCCTTCAGCAAGACATCCACCACCCTGAAAGTAATTAGATACCAGAGAGGAAAAAATATTAACACTAGGCTGTTTTTTTTAACACACCAAACACATTAGCAACTAGATAGCTGGAAAAATCAAGGAGCCATTCTGAAAAGCACTTACATTCTTCATTTTCTGAAAGAAAATATTATGCTGACACTCTGTTTTACATCAGAGTGCTCAAAAGCAGCTGGGATGGTTTGCATCCGCTCTTTCCTAAGTATATCAATTAATACCAAAGGACTTCATAAGTTTTTTTTTTTTTTTTTTTTTTTTTTTGCATAGGGACTAGTTCCAGCAACTTCATGACAGAGTGCAATACAAACTGAGAGTACTGGGTTTCATGGCATGTTCTCTTAACCACTATGCTAACATAAGCGATATGGTGTATTTATAGATTTTTTAATAACAGGTCATACAAACTTAGCTATTATCCCAAACAGTAATAATACCTAAAGATGAAGGCACAACCCTTCAAGACAATACTGTATAGTTTTAAGAACTGAAACAGCCTCTTTACATCCCTTTATCTCTTCCTCAACTAAAAAAAAGTCATTCAAGTTCTGAATATTCTCTTCAACTGAACTTTGCCCAGAAGATCCATATTCTTAACTGTCAAGCTACTCTTTCCCTAATTTGCTATTGGGAGTATGTATCACTCTTTTATTAACAAAAGTCAATCAACTATTGTGCAGTCATCCTGTCTAAACATCTTTAAACTCAACTACAGTATAACAGTGCAATTTAACTCAAAAGTGTGTGTGTGTGTGTGTGTGTGTGTGTGTGTGTGTGTGTGTGTGTGTGTGTGTGTGTGTCTGTGTGTGTGTGTGTGTGTGTGTGTGTGTGTCTGGCAGTCAGTTTCCTGCTCTGATACTGTCTAGCGGTTGCACAGACTACCCAAAACACCAATACACAAAAACACACAAAGCTAAAAGTGGCTAGAGAAATTTCCAATTTTGAAAAATTAATATTTTTAGGTTTTTAACTGGTACAGGGGAGGTAAGGGGGCCTGTGCCCCCTTGAAAGGGTGAATCCCATGCCTAAGAATTTCCAGAAGGCCCAGTTCACCCTTTTTTCCTGCAAGAAAGACAGCGCCAGTGAAATCATCATGGCCACATTTTTTCCACTTCTGCTCTAGCAGCTTTGACCCTTGAAAGGAAGAATTTGGTTATAACAAAGAAAAACTGAACATTTATCTGCAGAACCACCTTGGACACATAGGGAGATATTTCCATAGGCTGGATTTCCCATCTCTATGGTGTGCTTCATCAGGCACATGTCTGAATTAAATATCAAACAGGTCCCCCCCCCGAGAAGTCTGTTCCAAGATTAACAAAGCACTCTATGCAGATTCAAAACAATTTATTATTTTTCATATGACTATTCATGGCTTAGGGAACACTGAACTGTTCAGCAACTCTCTTTCATTTCTACCCAATCAGATGTACTCTGTGTTAATCCAGGGATTAACATCACACAGCACGTAGAGATAACAAACGATAAATCTTCCAGAAGAAGCGGCATGCTCAAGATCTTGTAAACACTTCCGGCAACTCATCTTTGGGTATCAAATAAAGCAGTTAAGCAGTTTATGCAAAACAGACACAGACAGAGATGTTCAGGACAAACATAATGCCGAATATGTATTGCATAGCAGAAAACAACATGGTAATATGAAACTATACATTGCATGTAGACACCTATTTAAATTCTGATGGCTGCTTTACATAGTTAAAAATGTTCCTCAGAATTGGACAATATCCAAGTAGTGTTTGATTAACTTTTTTACAGCTGCAATTTGTCATTCAGCATCCTTAAACATGTAGTTCAGTCTGCTATTATAAATGAACCCAACCTAGCTTGTATTCTTCAAACTAATATACAGACTGGAACAAGGTTTATTTATAGAACACACTCTTCATTTTTCATACTTCTTTGAATTGTGTGCAGTTAGCTTTTTAAAAAATGTATGTGTGTGTGTGTGTATAGATAAATAGTTTAGAGATATTCTAGGATAAAATGCATACAGAACACATAAATTTACAAGAATAAATTTGCAAAGCAATATATTTCACATGGATGTGAGAATGATTTAGACTTTAATAAAACTAATCCACACATCTCCATTCCTTGGCTTTTATGCATTATCATTAGACCTTCAGTTCATTACTTGTTGGTATTTTAATAATGAAAAGAGTTTTTCAAAGACATGTTATGAGCCTTCTAAGGTCTACACTAAATGTTAGGATGGAAAGATCTATATTTTAATCCCTCTCTGATGAGAGAAAGGATGATGCTTAACTTACTTTTTGTTTGTTTTCTTGTCTGATTCAAGCACCACATACCATGTACCCTTAAGCTTAATAGTTCAGGAAAGAATGGAAAGGGTTACAAGCCATAAGGTGCAACCAGAGTGATGGATTCTGGTGCTGCCAATCAAATGGCATTATGCAGCTATTCCATTCTTTCTTCTGTAATAGTTCTTTGGGGTTTTTTTTTCTGAGAGAGAAGACAAAGTAGGAACACACAGAGAGAGGCACCATCTAAACCCTCCAAAAATTTCGTGAACATGGTATTGCACAATAAAAGCCTTGTCTTTGCTCCCGAGTACAGAAAATTTCTCAAGTTTTATTTTAAAGTAGTTCTGTTTCACACCCATCAATAGGAACAAGTCCATTAATCCAGTAAACCATGTCAATAGGACTTGAGAGATGTTAGGAATCCAACCAGATAAAAATGACTTACTTTCGCCACCATGAGAGTGGTTTTTCTAATTCTTTCTCAGCAGATCCTATTGATGCGATGAATGCAAAAGGCCAGGCCAACAACATCATAAAAGCAGCAAACAACAGCCGGATGGGAAACAGGGTCAATGTCATGAAGGCAATCTGCAAAAATCCAAGGAATTTAGTTCTTTTAAGACTGGACTATAGATGTGGACAAGCCAAATAATGTTGTAATGATGGTTACCTTTTCTTGAATGTCACACAGAACAATAAGCATATATCCCCAAAATCAAATTATAGTAGGGGTGTCGCCTACAGAAGCTGCATGTTGTAATAAAGTTTAAGTATTATTTACAATCCTGTATATACAAATAGACTTTCTGCTCCCCACAATTTTGAAAATATGTTTGAAAAAAATTAATTTACTTTGTGTCCTCTAGGGCAGAGATTCCCAACCCCCGGTCCACGGCCCGGTGCCAGTCCGTGGCCTGAGCCAGACTTGGCCGCAGAGAGAGACCTCCCCCTGCATGCACTCCTCCCTGCACAGCCCATTTGCACCTGCGCACGGCTGCCCGCATGTGCGCTGCACTGCCTTTTGTGCATGTGCACAAGCGTGAGCATGTCCGCACAAGCGCTGTGCCACCCTTTTTGCATGCGCATGAGAGCACAGTTGCACACGGGAGCGCACACTTCTTCACATATGCACACGAGTGCAGGGGGGTACCCCTCCTTCCCCAGCCGGTCCACGGGGCTAAAAAGGTTGGGGACCATTGCTCTAGGGAGCATAAGAGACAATTTTGCATTGTTTTAAGGGCTCACAATACACACTGTCTTCCAATCTGTAAACGTTTTCAAAATGATCTGAACCAGTAAACGAGGAACACTTTTGGTTGAAAACCCACCACCACTTTTCAAAAGAAAAATGTGGTAGTATGTGTACAAGCTTCCAAGGTTTGGGTGTGCATATGTGGACTTTTGGAGATGGCCCACTCCTGCCTGAGACAAGAAAAGAGGTATTCATCCCTCTGCTCCCAAAGGATGTACAGGCTCTTTTGTAGTTGTGACTCTGAAGATTGTGAACTTTTGCAGTAGTATTATCCCTTAAGGTACAAACATAGATGATTTATTTCTAGCAGTGGTAATACTGCCCATTCTAAATACATAGAACAGCCTTTAAGAGCCACGCCACACCTAGGTACTCTGAAGAACAAACACCATTCTGTGCATCAGATTTAGGGCACTGCAGGGAAACTTGTTCCTTATCATAAAACAATGCAGTGTGTAAAACACTGATGCAACTGGAAAATAGGAAAGTATAAGTACCTTGGAGTTTGCTGCCCATTAAAAAAATTGATTAGAAAATCCCCCCAAGTCTCACTTATTTCACATCCAAGTGCATCAGAGGTTGTGCCCTTTTGGCAGCTGACCCAAGAAGAGGGCTAACAGGGAGCAAATATCAACTCACCATCGGCTTGATTTTCTGTATTTTTGTGTACTGTAATACCTTTTTATTCCACCTCAAGGCAACAGGGCAATACTCATAATCCTGTTTTATCCCCATAACAATCATATAAGGAAGATTCCATCCTATACATCACAAATACAAAAGCACTCCAGTGCACAGTATTACTAGTAGATATGAACAGGATGGGGTTTGCAAAGACGTCCTTATTTATTAAAGGACAAAATCCTCCAAGCATAAATTTACATGGCAGAACTTGATGGCATCATCAGTTTCTGCCCATAAAATTGAATTTAAATTAGTTAAAAGCTTCCTATCCCCCTGTTTTACTTCCCAAGGCTTTTCAGAGCTCCATTTTGTCCTTGGGAAGTCTTTGGGAATGTTCAGTTTTGATCTCAGTGGTGGAAATCAGAGGCAATTAAAGGGGTGATCAAAGGCTATCCCCAATCCCAATGCCACCAAAGGCTTCCTCAGTGTAAAAAGATCCTCTAGAGCAGTGGTCCTCAACCTTGGGCCTCCAGATGTTCTTGGACTTCAACTCCCAGAAATCCTAGCCAGCAGAGGTGGTGGTGAAGGCTTCTGGGAGTTGTAGACCAAGAACATCTGGAGGCCCAAGGTTGGGGACCACTGCTCTAGAGCACCTCAGAACCTAAAACTCGGGGAGGGGGACTTTGACTTAATTTAAATTACATCATACTGATGACATCATCTGCCGTGTAAATTTAAGACAACAGGAGCTCAATATCTTGGGAACAAGGAAGTTTCAGATATCAGAGAAACTCTCTTGAGGGCTGCTCCCCATTCCAATCAACTCAAACTTGCCTCCATCAATAACTTTCCACTGATATAATTCCTGCTACCCTGTACAGCAATGGTAATCACTTCATCAACAGGTAATTCTAATCCAAGTAATTAAAGCTTGGATTAATTAATTTTCAGTGATAATTTTTTGCGATAACATCACTGTAAAATTGTACAGAACCCTAAAGGCAAAAGGAAGTGGCTGGAACGACTTTCTCCCCTTAATTTTAATATCCTCTCCAAATTCCAGCTGTAGTCAACATTACGTGTTATCTTTAATGCTAAAATGTCTTTATTACCATCTCAACAGCCACAAGGATATCTTAAATATATTATATTGGCTGAACTCCAACAGTAAGTCATAACTACAATAGGTCCATTGAATCAGTGGGAATTTGATGAGTCAACATCTATGTAAATTCCACTGATTCAATAGAGCTACTCTAGTTGTGACTTATTACTGGATTTCAGCCATTGATACATTACTGAACCTTGTCTTACTCAAAAATTTCCATGAGTTTTAACAAGTAATCTATAATAGTGACAACAATACAGGAAGAATCTGCTTCCAGCATTACTCCAAGCACATAAAATCCACACTCCTGAAATCTGGCATGGATAATCATTGAGGTTATATTATTCTTATATACATATTACATACATACTTTATTGTTACAGCATCAAGCCATACATAAAACAAAACTGAATGCAGAGCTTCTATAAACAGACTAATTGAACTAAGAAAAAACTATTTGTAATTTCAGTATAACATTAGTTCATTTGACGGCAGATACCTGGCTCTTCAGGAGTAAAAGGGCTTCTTGGCAATAAAAACTATAGCTGTATCTAGACTTGAAACTTAGTCCACATGCTTAACCTACAGGCTACTTAATCCTTTCAACCTCTGATACACGTCTGTGTAGTCCAACTGCCTGCTAAGCTGTGCCTGTTCATGGCTTTAGGATTGTGAGTGTGGACACACATTGGGGGGAGGAGAAATGGGAATTCGTTCTGTCTCATATATGGGCAAAAGAAAATGGGGAGGGGAAAGGCTGGTTGGCTGGCTGTAAAGGAAAACACAGCGAGGAAGGAGTGAATTGTACACAGCTGTCACACTGCATATTTGGTTGAGATTTACTTGGGTTCTATGCATGCAACTTGGTATCAGCACGGGGATTCTGAGCTTTCACTGTCAAGATATGAGACAAAGCATGTGGTCACTCACAGCTGTCACACTGCATATTTGGTTGAGTTTTACTTGGGTTCTATGCATGCAACTTAGTATCAGCATGGGGATTCTGAGCTTTCACTGAAGATATGAGACAAAGCATGTCGTCACCATTTCACCCAATTGTTCTGCAAAAAACAAACCTGCTACTGTACTGAGTTTAGCCAATGACTGATTTTGGGACATGAAGGATTTAAATATATGCAGTCACCATGTGTGTTGTGTTTGTGTGTTGGAGAAAGAAAGAAAGAAAGAAAGAAAGAAAGAAAGAAAGAAAGAAAGAAAGAAAGAGAGTAAATAAGGCCTGAAAGTAGTGATAACTCCTACAGTTTTAATAGTTGTTAAGCAAGCTGCACCTACTGAAATTTCCTCTTCCACAAGAGGAGCAGTACAAGAAGTTTATCCTCTATTTCATGTTGCCACCCTAGGTGGGAGTAATTCCAGAAAGGTATGAATTTCTCACTACTATTATTGCTATTATGATGCAGTTTCATTACTTATTTTAAAAGGATCAGGTCAGTATGATTTTTCCTATTCTGTAGGCTAGATATTAACGGTACATGCAATTGGATAACTCTATATACCTCAAACAGCTACCCAAATTCTATGGAATCCCCACTGCTTTAAAAGATATACCTGCTGAATTAGTGCTATTGCCTGTTGATTTTAAAGGCACGGGAGCTCTGTGAGAGGAAAATGTAGTTTAAAACATGACAAAGAAGAGTCATGGGACTGCACACAGCACCTTGTGTCACAAGTTGCACACCCCTAAATTACATGAAAGAAACTTTTTAAAAATTGTAATATTTCATTTAATTTCATATAGAGCAACCCTGAAAGGACTGTTTCAAATGGCAAATAAGCTGTGCTTGTGAATGTGGGGAAAAATGAATGGAAGGCCTAACTGATTATTCATTTTGGTTTTATTCTTGTTAAATCATGACACGGTGTAATATGTCATGTGTTGTTGTTCATCTGAGGCTGTATTTATCTAATTTTCAGACTTCAGATGGTTTTTACTATGTTCTAATATGTAAAACCACAGAATTCAAAGAGGGTGTACTGTACTTTCTTTTTCACGACTGTACATTTATAATTTAAAACTGCGTAATGTTCTAGCGTGAATAAAGAAAAGAAATAACACTTTATTCCTCTGCCAATCTACATATTACATAGATCAAAGTCCTGGTGATTGGACAAGATGAAAATGCTGTAGGAAGATTTATATAGGTGTAGGCATATCAGACAAAAAAACCAAAAGCATAAAGAAGACAAAAACACTGTGGTACCTTAAAAACTAACTGCTATTTTTTAATGAGAGCTTTTATGGATCAAATCCACTTCTTCAGACATAAGAATGAGACTACATGGTAAATAAATATATATAATGGCTCCAGAATAAAGACATAGTGGATGGTTGGTAGACACAAGTTGCATAGTGACTTACAAAATGTGGCATTTCTCACCTGGAGACCCCTATTTAATATTCAGTTCTTTTACTTTGGCACTACAATGTAAAAAGCTACAATGGTTAGCGGGGTTCCTGTTCGAGAGAATGGAGCTGTTGTTTGTTCCTGGTAAGTGGTGCCCGGAAGGTAAACTAACTGCATGCACTGGGCCATGCTTAGATTGATGGTAGATTAGAAGTTACTCAAGCCTTGGAATCCCTCAAAGATCTTCTTCCCAATATTTAGATGAAGTCATCATTACTGATGCCTCAAACATGGAGAAGAGGTCAGCGGAGCCAGGAACTAAGGATACACTGTTTGAAATAGACTATAAGTAGAGTGGCATACTAACAGGTTATGTGGCACCAACAATGAGGCCACTGGATACGACAGTGGGGTCTCGACTTACGAACGGCTTGACATACGAACGTTTTGACTTACGAACCGCTCTCATAGGAATATATGGACTCGAGTTGCGAACTTTCCTGGTAAGTGGTGCCCGGAAGGTAAACTAACTGCATGCACTGGGCCATGCTTAGATTGATGGTAGATTAGAAGTTACTCAAGCCTTGGAATCCCTCAAAGATCTTCTTCCCAATATTTAGATGAAGTCATCATTACTGATGCCTCAAACATGGAGAAGAGGTCAGTGGAGCCAGGAACTAAGGATACACTGTTTGAAATAGACTATAAGTAGAGTGGCATACTAACAGGTTATGTGGCATCAACAATGAGGCCACTGGATACTACCTACCTCAGTTTCTACAAAGGCAGGCAAGGATGAAAACCATGAAGTCAATGGCATCATCAGGGTTAATGTTCCTGATGCTTTCTGCAACCATGTTTGAGTGGTGTGCTGGTGTTTGGCATTTTTACATCCATAGTGACCAAAATGTTGTTTTCAGACTCAGTACCATCTTATAACAACTAAGAGTCCTAGTACGGTTGGGGATGTGCACAGAGTTCACACAGCAAGATATTTGTGTGTCAAGACTATAACCCAAGAGACATCAAGGAGTCAGTTTCTGTCTGAGATTCTATGCATACCTCAGGACGTCTCTGCTATATATTTAAATGAATGGCTTTATAAAAGCACAATATTAATCAAATTAATGTTGACATTAGTATCTTCTGATAAAAGCCTGTGAGCTTACACAAATTGCCTGAAACATGTTCAAATACAGATATGTAACACTCTTGCAAAAGCGGACACAATGTTCATTCACTTCAAAAAAGCTCTTGGTTTTCTGTAATGGGGGAGAGAGTACTGTTTTCACAAGATAAAAGGCATGGTGGACTGAAGGGAGGGAGCCCACAGATTTAGTGTCCCAAATTCTAAATGCAACTAATAAGTCATTAATAATAAATTAAAGACATGGTAATTAATACTGGATATTCAGTAGTAGTGTAGTGGATAGTGAGATGGACTAGAACTCTGAAAACCATGGTTAAAATCCCCACTTGGCTGTAGACACTCACGAGGGTGCAGAACTGGAAAAACCCTTAAACATTTCATTCACCTTGAAAATGTAATTAGGGTAGCTATAAGTCAGTTCTGAATTGATGGTACATAACAACAATTAACATATAAGCGTATTCAGCAAAGACGTACTACTGTGTGCGCACACAAGGATTAAGTCTTATGATTACAGACTCATCTGAGTTACACTGGTAACAGAAAAGTACTTGGTTCAAACAGAATAGCTTAAAATATACAGGACATTAATTCAATTTGAGAACAGAATTTAGAATATGAAAGAGGTCATTACCAAGAAGCTGACTAAGCTTTCAGAAGTAATTTGGGGTTAAGAATCAAGTTACCTGAATGAACAAGGTCAGATAATCTGTTCCACAGCAAGCTCTATTCGTTTTAATATTTATGCCAGGGAACTACTTGAAGTATGAGTCTGCCTGACATTTAGTAGCATTAAAATGCTATCTAAGTGGAACATGCAAACACATCTACCAAAAGGATGAAGTGTAAATGAGAGACATGGAAGCTTTTGCAACTAAAATAAACCACAGAGGAATATGGTAGTTTAAATACAAATGCTCCAGCTATGTAGGTCTCAGCCCTTACCATGTCATTTTTCACGAGCACTGTTAAAATTGGACCATATACTAAAATGCGATAAAAAGTAGAATCTGTATAGCATACATGGTGGTAAATGGTAATGTGGCAAGTTGCAGTTAACATAAGCACCATCAGGTAGCATTTAATGAAAAATACAGCTACATTAAGATCCTTGTTAACTACAACAATTAACCCACTATCTTCATTCTTAGGCAGTAAGAGCATACATGGCAACTTCTGCAAACTTTTACATCTCTTAATATTTAACTTTATTTCATTTATTGATAGAAATCCAGTGGCTTTTTCTTGGGATTTCTTTCACTCTTGGAGACAGGAGTGAACAACTCTTCTGTTTCCATTTGCTTAGCCTCAAAATCTGTTCCTTAAGGCCCCTTTTCAAGGAGTGTGAGAAATGGCTGTTTGAAGGAACAGACGTGGAGAAAGTCTTGTTGCAACAGACTGCTCCATTAGCTTCCAACAGTTGCATCTAGTACTTCACATAAGCCCTTACAAACCAAGTAAACCTGGGAGAGAGACCAAATTTTTTTTCTTGTGTGTCTCTAGATATCTATTTAGTAAATCTGTGGTACAGTATGCCCAGCAACAAAAGCTCTCTGGGTGGATTACACAGTAGCCAGAGAATAAAAACACAATATACAAATAAGATCAACATAGAAAATAAGATAGATAAATGCGGAGACAGATACAAACACACATCCATAATGCCCGTGAGAATAAGAATCACTCCACCTAGAGTTAGAAAGACTGCAGTGTAGGCATCAGACAGGATATTTTGGAGGTGAGGTACAACTGTGAAGTCCTCCAATCTAACTTTGATCAAGACAAAGGGGAGGGGACCTCTAAAGTGACCTGGGGGTTTGGGCAGTGTCACATGACTAGATTAACACTGGAATATTGCTGTCCTCTTCGGTTCTAAACACTCTTAACATCACTCCTTCTGGGTAATTGTCTAGTTACCTCAGCCTCCTAAACAGCTAAGGTGTCATCAACAATAGGAGGAAGGAAATATTGGAGATCATTTTCAAGCCCCCTTGTAAAGGCAAA